TATGTACAAATTGCAATTCGTTTATTGTTTGTTGGCAAATTATATTGATGCTGTTTGCACAAAGCTGAGTTTACACGTCGCAAGGCTATTGTCTTTGTTGCCATCTTGTGAGGTTTCGGTGTTCAGCATTTCCACAATCACTTGATGGCGATATCTTTTTATTACATTTTACTACAATATTTATACTAATCAAGTGTCTACATGTATTAGATCTCATTATAATGATTATAAATAATGTACAATATTCTTGCAATGAACTAGTCATCTCTGTTATCTCTCCATCTAGTAATTTCAGTATTAACATATTTCTTTACCTATTTTAATACCACTGATTTGATCTACAAATATTAAATTGACGCTGGCAGAGCTGAGTACTCATTAAGTTACTCTGCTTGTAACTTGTACTCTCAGCTAGCAGCAGAACGAAACAAAAAGGGTTTGTTTATTCCGTAGTCAGAAATAAAGCCTCCGACACATATTAGAGATGTTATGCTCTAGTTATGTTTTATTTGATTATAAAAATCATCCATTAATGAACGATTCATAGGATTAGTAAGCCTGCGTAGTGACTAGATTTGCTACAAACAGTTTAGTGTTTACGGTTAGAGTAAAACGCATCTTACCGTCGTGGATAGACTTTGAAAGAGTTTATTAGTTCTCTCCTTAATAGAGAGAAATCCAGGCATAGTTTCAGTGCAAACAGGCGGTTTCCTGTGAAAATCACAAATAAAATCAAAAGCTAAGCGCTGAGATCTTATAAATGTATAAATCTCTGTCGGGCTTATAAAAGTCTGTTGACCTCATTTCAAGACGATTGTAGAGTTTCTTTTTCATATAAAAATGATTAACTTGATTTAATAATACGCATGGTATGACTTAAAATTTTTGGCTAAGCAGATCGTTTTTCAGTTCAGTGGTAAATACACAAGTCCATGTATGTATGCATATTTAGTAAACTTCTAATATTTATAATTATGGCTTTCAATATAATAGTTAATTACTCACTCGTGTAAAAAGTTTATTACCTGGCGGATCTGATGGTGACATTTTGGCAAGGAGTCGATACAGACGTGACGTCAGAGGTTAATGACCACGAACTTGTAGACAGGGTCGAACAACTTAACAATAATTCTGAAAATTATATAATGCAACAATTACAAAACGTTTGCAACTAATGCTTTTTTTTTGGTGATAATCACAGTTGGCTTTTAGCGCCTCAACTTAAAGGTGACTATATCCACTGGTAAATTTAACAAATCGGAAATTTGCTCATTTCACAGATCGAGGTAAATTAGTTTGCTAATTTATGTCAACATAACTATTCAAATTAATTATTACTACTCTGCTCGATATGAAAACAGGAAGAGGGTTAGGAAAGCAAGGGGCTTTCTTTTCCTTCTCATCATTTTTAAAATTACGTTATAATATTTCTATTTATTTAGTGCTGCAAAATGAAAATGTGATACGCTTCAAATGAAAGCAGAATACGCATGTATTGAAATGACATGAAACGTTAAGAATAATCTAAAAAGGTCTTTGTCACAAAGGTAATCATTTTTGAAGAATATGAGCCGTTTACCCTTTGCGACTGGCAACGAAGGCGGGAAAAAAAGTTGGATAGGATAAATGTATCGATTTCTAATTCGCAAACAAAAAACTACACTAAATTTGGACTGAAAGAATGCGATCATCTGTCACGAAGCTCTGGTTGCTTTAACGATGCAAACGCATATAACAATCGGACAGTTGTCTTCCGGTTCTTCAAATCCCATCACAAAAAGTTGTGATGCTGCAGTGCAAATGTGAACATTGGTTCATTTGGTGATAAATTAAATAGAAAAACGAAATAAAATACCTTACATAGTAAGTGATGTGCAAAATAATGATCTATTTTTCTACGGTATTTTCTATTTTAATTTTATGAAAACGGTGAACACAACGTAATTTGTCTAACATGCGCTTTTGGTCTATTTCATATCAGCGTATAACTGTACTGCTTTTGGGCGCAATTCGCTGACATTTTGATTGAAACAATCTACGAAAGTTTGAGTTTGTTGATGTTCAATCGAACACCGAATATTACTATGTAAGGCAGGCTTTTCAAGTTTACTTATAAGGTTGGCTAGTTCTTATAATTAATACTACGTGGCTAACATGAACGACATTTATAGATCAAATTGCGATTCTTAGCCTTTATAGCGAAACTTAAAAATAATAACAAGCGATTTTTGCACTAGTTACATAACAGGAGTTATAATTTCGACTAACGACCACTCGAGCTATAAATCCTGATGTCGTGAATACAACACTCTTCTTAAAAGCAGATGGAGAAAATCTATACGGAAATAAAGAGCGATACCTTAGATAGGCTAAAACAAAACGGTACGCGTATAGTGGACTCTCTGGTGCTAGCTGGAAACTGCAAGGACCTCCATTCTCGCCGATGTGACAAGATCACACACAGTTATCTTGACTATCTATTAGACGCTGCATCAAGCGAGCAGACAGAATGAACCAGACTAAGTGACATTTGCTTCCTCTGGGTGCCACGAACGATCATCTCTCTGCTAATGATCGGTTGTGGCATCTATAATGTCGACTTGTGGAGAGAGCTATGAAAGATGCGGCGCCAACTCAAACATCAACGGAATCATAAATCATCACTTTTACAGCAATCGTAGTAATACGGAATCACAGTTGAAATTATTCTATGGCACGGCTAATGCGCATCTCTTTGAGTTACCTAACTAACGAGCATGCTTGTATGGTGGTTCAAATTTGAGCGTAGGCAATAATTATTACCGAATATTAATAATCAGGAAAATAAGGAATAAAGAATCACAGAAAAATTGCGCTACTATTATTATTTTATCAAATTTAATAACTGTTTTTATGGTTGTCATGCCGTTTTATAGGTCTGTTGAGGAAACCTTAGATATGCTCGGTAAAACCTACACAGGTTAGACTCCCAATGAGGCCGGGCCTTAGTGCTACAGCTAAAAAGAGGTGATTTTGAGAACTTGTCCACACAATAATAATAACTTAAAATGCTATACATGAAAATTTAATAACATTCGTGCCAAGAACGCATGTAAGCTAAAAGAAAGCGCAAAGTAATTCTTCCAAAGATTCCAAAGATTTTTGTCGTCTTTTATGGATCGCGTTGCATAAAAATTGTCACTCTCAAAACACCAAGTCTTCTATTCGGATAAAGTCATATATCATTATAATTTTTTCTTCTGTGTACTATTCTATCACTCTTGGTACAGGTAAACACAAACGTGTACTAATATTAATAGTTCAAGACATTTCGAAATCCCTGAGCTTTAGCTATACACATGTGCATATATTGAAAATAAGTAAGTTCCCACAAGTGTAGAAGGTTTTGGATTTCAAATAAAGAACGAACCTCTCGGACTCGTCGAGCTACATTGTGGATCCACGAAGCCGCATCAAACAGTAGATCAAACAGACCCTCAACCGGAAAACTAGTTACGCCTTTAAGATGATAGAGAGAGCCGTAGGAAAGTTTTAGCTACTGTACGCAAGAACTCTGCTGTTCTGGAGTTAATTTTTTCGTGACAAGGTAACAACAAGAAGCATACAGGATTTCTTCTGTCAGGCAAGCCTTTCTACGTGAAGAGAATTAGCAGGCTTCGATGTAGGCCTCTGTTTCATAAGCAGAAAGAGTCATGGGTCTTGCTCCTTCATCGCATTTGGGGCCTCTACTAGATGACAACGCATTTCCTTCATCGTCGCAATAACTCTACGGCTGGAAGAAGGTCTGCGATTCTTATCTGTGCTTCCGACAGCCCATCCGGATTGCCTCTACTGGTGGACATATGTTTATCCGCCGGAGAAGTGAAAAACGGCATTCCAGATCTAGTGTCATCAATCAGGTCATATACCCGCATTGCAGTCGGCTGAAGTTCCAGTAGGCCAAAAACCAACTGAGCTTCCCATAAACAGCGCCATTCGGGCGGAAGGAATGATATTAGAACCGCGAAAGGAAGAATGATATTTTATCTGCGGCGCAACACCAGTATATACGCTCGCGTCATCCAACAAACGCAGCTGGGAAAGCAGCAGCATGAGGACGAGAGGAAGAGAATACATTAAATGAATGAAAGCGACGAATCGATCGGGAATTGTCTTCAAATTATTTTGTTCAGCTAGTCGCTATCCAGACCGTTAGAGTAATTGGAGCTAATGTGGAAACGTTACTGAGTAACTGATGTACAGAGTATTTGAAGGGGCAAAGGTGGAATCGTCTACATGACATCTTCTCCAAAGGATCTCTCAAAGGTAGATCAAGGAGAGAATGTAGTATCTATAGCGGATTCTATGCTGAAGCTTCTGAGGTTCCTTCCTGAGTTCCTCGAATGGGATATATATATATATATATATACGTCAGAATCTGAAATAAATACTGCTGTTACTTCACAGTTTAGTTTCATACGATTAAATCGTGATATATCTTTGAAATTCTACGCACAGTCATACACACGACCATTCACCTATAAGGCCATGCATTCAACAAAACGACGCCGACGTACAATATAAAAGTATACACAGTCTATTTATTGATTTATTCGAATGCATTCAATTGTAAATTACACAACACAATATATCGTAGACACGGACTGACAAACGCAAACATGCGATTTTTTTTTGTTGTCAATTACAGGGATACTATTCAACAGCGCGACTTGGCGTAAATTGAATATCATGCCCAGCATGCACCTATCTTACACATCTCGCCACTACAAAACAATGAACGCCAGGAGACAAATAAAGACAACATATCAAGGCATACTCGACTATGTACGCCTGAACCTATTGCAGCTCTCATGGTGTTGCACTATAGTTTTGGTTGTATTATCTGTCGATTTGGTGTATTGTCTGTCGATAACGCGGCGTCGTTTTGAGGTGGTGTTTGGATTGGTCGCGAGTACCGATCGCTATGAGACGGTTACGAGCCGTCCACTACCAGGGTCCGAAGTAGCTGGGGTAGTACAGTTGCTGTTCAGTGAGAGGCCAGAATCATTGGGTTGGCTGAGGTTCCCGTCACTTCCATCACGGGTAGTTGAGGTGTTGAAGTGCACGTGGTCAGCGCTTTGTTCTGCTGTAGCATCTGCTACCGAATTTTCTGCAAACGCCCATCAAAGGTTTGTTAAAATAGGCGTACTAAGGCACGGCGCGGATTCCGTATAATTATACTAAAATATATAAACTGTATTTCATTATACTTTGTATTAATTTTATTTGTGGGCTCAATGGTTAATTTTTCTCACTGAGCATCAAGATGTCATTGCAATGAAATTATTGTGATTAATTATGTATTATAATATTTTACGGATTACAAATAACAACATGTTTAACTGCTACGTATGTAAGCTTTTAGGCCTGCAAAGTATTCAGAGACAAACCAAACTTATCTGTCCGCTACAGTCGCGCCGGGATACATAGTTGGTACTGCTGATCGTATACAAAGCTAAAAGATTCTTTGTCTGACGCCTAACATATTAGCATATATCAAGCAACAATCACACCCACTCTTCAAAGAACTATTCTCACATTGGAGGCAAGCACCGAAATATTAATCATTTAAAATGATAGCAGAACAGTTATCGTTAATTGAGAATTCCATCATTTTTCTCCCATACAGTTTCTCTCCGGAGTTAACTTACCGGCATTTTCCTCTTCTTCAATGGCGACAGCTTCTTTGTCTTGTTGGGAGCGACTCAAACGAAACCTGGTTACTGCTATAGAATCTCTCTTCAGCTTAAGCTAATGGCAGAAACCAAAATATATCAAGTTAGTGGAATAATAATAAAAAGATTTGCTTAAACATTATTGTTTAATATTTGCTATAGCCGAGTTGTGTTCGAGAAAAATCTTCAGTGTTTAGTAATATCAGTTGTATTGCCTAATACGAAAGAATTGTGTTCAAGAGATGATTTTAGCTGAAGTCCAATGTTTAACATGTATACTTCAAATAATCTTCAGAATCACTTTCCTGCTCGAAAGCTTTGTGTCCATTCAGCTCTCAAAAGGTCGATAAAGTGCAGTATACAAAACACTAGGAGATAAAAAAGTGTTCATCTATATTGGGATTAAGGCCTTATTTGGTCTTGAAAATCCTAATTTCTCATAGACCAGCAATGAACACTATCTGCAGAAGTTTGGAGGGCTTCGGTAATTATTATTGCTACAAATCGCATAGAGGCATACAAAGTTCATATATAAGTATTATTTAATACGGTATCTAAGGCACATGAGATACTCTAGATGTTCTACGACGCGTATTTGCTGTGAAAACATATATTTTTAGCTTATTGAACTCAATTCTAGTCGAATTACTGCAGTTTGGATGATTCCATCTGATTAAGTATTTTGTACCTCTGTGATCTAAAGATCGATAACCGTCCTTGCACAGTAATTTTATTACAATATTTTGCATGTTTCATCGTTCTTTTTTTAATGAGCGGTAGCCTTCGATAATCTTTATATTCAAAATAGCTCTTGTAAACCTACAAGTTTCGAAGACGCATTTCAACTGGCAGAAGGAAAAGGACCTCTATTTAGCACACTAAATCAGTCGACTCTTATCTACTCACTCATATAGAATAGTATTGTTTAGGTTTGTGTAGACAATCAAGAATGATACGGCGTTACCTTTCCGCGATGATCACGTGCGAGACCTAATGGTAATGATGCAAGTCTGGCGCCTTCGAAATTGCTCTGAGTAGTAGAAGTGACTGAGTGAAAAGCTCAACCGACCGTTATTAGCAGACAGCTGCTAATGGCAAACTCAGCCTTGACATCAACATCTAGCCCGTCAGTATGATACACATTCTGTACACGTATATGTGTATCCGTTTTTTAATGAACATTCGTTATATTCTTGCGTGAAGATAGCATTGTTGACGGCCATTGGAAAGCCTGTACTTTTTGCATTATTTTCTTTCAAGACGAGCATATCACTGGTAAACATACGACGAAGAGCTGTCGTGACCCATACTTGGTAAACTAATAACTGTAGCCGTTACTTCTAGCGATGGCTTCAAACTGGTTCATATGAGGTCTGTTTAGCTGGCAGCGGCCCAACGACGATGCTAACAATGATGATGGCGTCGAAGAAAAAAGAATCAAAAGTCAACTGTTGTCTGTTTTGCTGTTGCGGACTGTGACCATCAGCAGTTGGACTACAATATCTTTCATATGCATTTACGTATGTGTGTATTAATTTCTACCGAAATATTCAATAACGATTTTTTCAATCGTAAGTTCCTATCAGTTTAAGTAAGGAACTGGTTTTACAGGCATATAGGTAAATGTAAATGTTTCGACCGTGCACTTTTACTAAGCTACCTAACACGATAGCCACTGTCATCGGAATATACAGTTATTGTCAACAGCAGATATGAATCCTTGCTCAACCTAAATTTACGAAGCAATATTCCGGCTCTTACGATCTTCTCCGTTGGCCTGCTTCACAGTGTCATTAAATAACCCTACCAGAATCGACAATATTACAACGAAACTGACAGTTGGCGGCAGTAAGAACAGCAAACCACCAGTAGTTTCAGTTGTTTAGATTAGCGGATTACAACACCCACTATAAATCTGGCCTTAAACTCAGGCCAAATATGCGTTCGCGTACGCTGATAATAATATCTGCCTCATGAAACACGAAAAGACATAATGGTCGAAACATCTGCATAGTACGAAATGACGACGAGGATTGTTGGTTTTTGACCTAAAATAAATAGAGGTCAGACACACCAATAGCCAAAACTTTCAAGGACTGTTTTCCTAATGCCAATGTAAAAGTATCAACAGGCACGCGGTCTCAGATCGATAAGATACAGCCAATGCTTGCCTGTTCATAGCCATAGTGCGTCATTTGTACTTTTACGTTATTGGATTAATTATGCGCATGTATGAGCTAAACGTAGGTTGTAACAAAGTTGTGTCAACATGTTAGTTCTCGTGCGCTACGCTCCAAAAAAGTCATTGATGATTTTACTCACACCGGAATGATACGAATTCGAGCAACTAGAGGTGAACAGATAACCTTTAGATTATTATTGCTTCTAGTAAATATATATATTTTTTTTCCAAATAATTAGAGAAAAGTAAATTTATGTTAAAACTGGAGTTCACTAAAAAAGGCAAAATTATCAGTAATTCTTTGACATGCATACATTGTTTGCTTCACGTTCCGATTAAGTTAGGAAGATAATCAGCATTTACGGCGACGAAATATGAGCGAGAATGACGTTATCCAGTAACACTGCAGTGGTTGTAAGAGATGAAAGAAGAGGATGACAGGATTATTGGGCCTTTAATCAGGTACTGCGACCTATTACGTCAGTGGTCATTTCGATTAGCTCACATGCGTATGTATTATGCGTATGTATATGCGTATGTATGGACGTTGTAGTCTCTTAATATAAAAATTCTAGTACCTGCAAGACACACGCTCTCTCTCTCTCCCCCTCTCTCTCTCTATATATATATATGGAAGTTTTCAAACTTCAAAAATTTAAATTGAAATACGGCCAAAAATTTACTTTAAACAGCATAAACAATTTGTTTTCGTATTTTTCCTCTTGCGCTGGTGTATCGACGCCATCCGCCATCAGTGATTCATCTTCACACTGGTCTGTTCCAATCCCCAGAGCCGCCACCGCCGCCGTCGCCGCTATTAAAAACAGCTGTCTCTTCCAAAATGGCTACGACAAACTTCTAAGGCCCGTTTCCAACTTAACAACTATTTTTTACAGGAATCTTAATTCTGTTCTAATTGAAAGATCGATTCCCTTGTTTACGTGTGTCACTATCATTGATGAAACTTACCCTTATAGCGAGTTCTTTGGATATTATATGAAATGTAGTTCAGAAGGATATTTCAATACGTTAAAATCTCAATATCACTAGAGGCACTCTATGAATAAATGGTGGTGAAACTTTAGTATCCTCAAATGAATCTCATCTTAGTTGTAACGAGCAGAGATTTAGGCTAAATAGCTAAATTTTCATTGTTGAAAGCAAAATATGATAGTTTTTATGTATATTAGAGATAAGTAATGTTTATCTAAAAAAATTCGTAATGGTAACGGACAGGTTTGGCGAATTGGCAGGGTAATAATACTATCAGTTGTTTTGATATATATCATTTTTAAATAAGTTATAGGATTAATTGATAACTGTGATTATCGAGTCGTCGAGTCCACGCGCTAGCTTAATCCAGTAACATTTAATGTCTAAATATCTAAAATATAATTATCACACCAGTTGCTGGCCAGTCAGAATAAGTGGATTGTGCAAGAGAATGGTACGTCGATTGTAGACATAATTCGCCTAATTCTGTCCCCTCTATTATTAAGATGCTCACCGTAAAATGCATACCGTAAGCATTTTCTAGATTTGAACAAATTGCTTTTTGTGTATAAAGTTATTTCTATTATTAGCAGCTGTGGAAATAATTTTTTGTTGGAAACAAAACTAGAGAATGGATTAATAGCTGTTATTATAAAAAATATATTCCTTGTATGACCATAAAACGTTAAAAGATGATAGAAATCAGTTTGTGCTTCTTCACTCAAAATCACGATCCAAAGTACATCCTATTGCTACATTGGATACGCATCTATCATTCTCAAAAGAATGGCGATTAATACAGTTTTCTGGACCTTATATATGCAGCAATTGATTTCCTTTACACGGGAGATATGTTGCATTGGAACTTGTTTAAGGCACTTTGCTTCGAAAGAGCCGTTTTAGTTTTGTGCTTATTTTTTAAAGTTCCATTCATGACAGAACAAACAAGACCACTATATTATGAGGTGAATGCATATCTTGGAAGAATATTAATTCAAACCCGTAAAGGATATACGGAGTTTGATTTTTTTTTCTCTGGTTTGAAATTATAGAACATCCGATTTTACGAATAGTCGACGCTTATATTGGACCATGCGCTATGGATTGATAAGAAGTCATACGATACCAAATTTACCTTATGTAAATTGACAACGCTATAAAGGTTTGCTATATGAACAGAGCAAAGCTAACTAGTACAAATATATTGTGAATCAAAGTTATCAGCTTCTCCTTCTTCTGCAAATACCTAAATGTATCGATTTCTTATTTGTATTGAATCCCTACACATATAATCAAAAACAAATCTAGATCAACCTAACAATGAACTAGAGGTTTATAATCACTATTACTATTACTTTCAATGACTTTATTATTTGACTTCAATACCTTTCTTGCGAGAGGTGTAGGATAATCGGGCAGATCATCATCATCATCGTCGTCGTCGTCGTCGTCGTCATCATCATCATCGTCAGACAATTCGATGGTACTAAGCTTTGTTATTGTCATTAAGTGCGGCCGCTGTAGATGCAGTTCTTCCTCGATCTGTTGATTTCCTTGCTGACCCTGTTCATGCGCCTGTTGAAGTTGTTCCGGACTACCGCTGTCGCATACGGAGGTAAACAGATGGAACGGTTATCGTTGACCGCAATAACAGTGGCAGGGCGCCATAACAGTAGCAGAATTGACATGGCGTTTGTTCGTGATGGTCATTAACGCAGCAAATGTAAAATAATAAACGAAGCAGCAGGAATGCATCACCGTGACATTGTAGTCGTAGACACGCGTGAACACCCACCGCACAAGAAAACCAGTTGGAAAACGTGAGTGATGGACGAAATGACAAAAAGGAAGACAATCTACGAGAGTAATCTAGGTCGTTGTTAACAATGAGCGTCATTATTTTTATCTATTGAGTGATTAAACAGTAACATCATCTTTTTTTTTTTACGAAATATATGCTCTCACAGAACTGGACAATTGATTCTTAAGTTGTGACACCGATTTACGCTTCGATAATCGTAAATGATCATGTTCATCAGTAGGCTATGCTAACAGTGTACTTATGTTTGTGAAAGAAAGTATTTTTGTAGCTACTGTTGCGTTTCAAACACCTACCTAATTTCGATGCTTTCCTGGAGTGAATCATCTGCAGTTGGCCAGTTGTCTTGGGTTGCCTCGGTATTGCTATGGCTCTCCGTGCGCGCCTGGGGAAGTTTTTTGCTATTGCGTGCTCCCATTGTGATAGTGCTCTGCCTTTGCGGCTGTAAAGCACTTGGTCTCAGCTGAGGTAATATAATCCTTCTCCTAACGTTGTGACCCTTAAGTGTTCCTTCTTCTGCTATTGACGTCGATGTTGGTAGCTCTGTGTCTCGGACGTTGACGGTATCCGCTTCTGCGCACCTTTCGGCCTCCGTGTATTTGCAGCTGCTAAAAACGTCGGCGCCCCGGTAGAGGGCCCGTCGGTCCTCGCACAGAGAACCATCGCCGCCTTCCCCTCTATATCGGTTGTCTCCTACCACGACTCCCACACCATAGGCGTGATCGTCCTTTCCCATTCGCCGATAGTCACGAGAGGCTCGAGTAGTATCCGCAACAGAATCAGTAAAACCTTGAGCGCCAGCCGTCTTGCCGACAGCATTCCCCATAAGTTCGTTGTCGTCTTTGCGATTATCAGGTGTACTCGCACTCCGTGTGTTTAGGGATGAGTTGAAAAGTTCGGTTTTGTCTTGGCGATACGTTAGAGATGTTCGGTCAAATTGCTTTTCATCGACTGAAAAGGTACGCGCAGTTGCTGAAGATCCACTCGGGACATTTCGAGCGACGTTCACAGTTGATTGGTAGACGCTATGGCAATGCGGTTTGGGCGTCGAGTGTTTCAAAGAAGTAAGGCTGCGTTGATTCGTCGCTTTAATTTCAGGAGATCCCCATGAAGTAGATAAAGTCGATGTGCAGTCCTTTTTAGTAACTTCTTGAATTTGTAAGCTCTCCAGGGAAGGTCCTTCTACGTGACTCTGCTTAACTGCTCTCATTGAACTGTTATAGCGACAACGCATTGTCCGAGTAGTTGCAAAGGATGAAACCAATTTTGTGAGATGTTCCTCTGTTAATGCAGGAGGAGGTTCGATAGGAGGAATAGATGGTTCATCCGATGGTGGTATTGGAACTGCTTCGTTACTATCGTCCCCATATCCTTTTTCGACGATATTCATTCTCGCAACACTCGGCCGCCTGGCAGCAGAGTCGCGAAGAACCGCATCTAGATAGGTAGCTCTATCTCTAGAAATTTTAACCAGTAATTTGGAGCAAGGAACTGCAAAGTCCACATTCTCACTTGTGTGTTGCAGATGTTGCTTTGCTGAATCCATGTCCAACTATATTGCGTTACCTGAAGGAACTAGTAACAGTAACCCATTTGTTGAAAAAGTGCTGCTAGGAGTATTGGTTTAAAATGTCACGCTCTTTTTACAAATTGCATCTTTGATTAGATTTATTACTAAATATGCGTCACGAGCATTGTTTATTCAATAAATCAATTACCTTTTTTATTCACACAAGTTGTTGAGCATCTATATGCCACTAAGGGGTCTCGAACCAGGGACCTCTAGTCTCGTTTAACAAGCTGATCAGTTATATCGCTGCGATGAAACGTAACACATGATTACACATAAAATAGTGTTATCGATTTTGACACATTACGTTTGAATGAATCCCAGTTTAGTCATTTCGACTTAATTGCATTGACATCGGTTCTTAGGACAGCTTTACCTAAAACGATCTAGTAAGAATTTCTAATAAGAATGCCTTCTTAGCAGACACTGTTTGTGCAGATGTGCGCTAGAGAAGATTTCGACCACCGATTTTTAGCTATAAAGTGACCTTTTAGGTAAAAAGATACGAAACCTTACAGTATTCGTAGAATGCACCTATGTAAAACCCAAAGCCGCTATACAAGACATTGTATATGTATCTATTACATTATATGTAGGTACAGCCGGGTTATTTCTGAAACGATAATGTATCAAAAAATACAAACGATAAGAACCGAGGTTTGTGACTGCGCCCAATGAATGACACTCCCTGACGTATAATAGAAGGAAATAATAGATTTTATATGACACCCAATATTTGCGCTTCTTGTTCTTTGTATGCAATAATTTTAAACAGATATGTATCATACCTAGCGATAAAGTAAAGCTGTGAAAAGCTGACGGCTGCCTACAATACAGTGGCGTTAGCTGTATAAAAAGACTAAAAAGATATACGCTTGGACTACGATCATGCGACTAAATATCATCTTCGAATGTAAAAAATCTGGAAACAGAATGAGTGGAACTCGTTATTTTAATTAATATTTCGACGATTCTTTAGAATCATTGTTGAGATAAAGGAGGAAAAGAGATGAAGAGGAAGTAACTATATAATGCGGCAAAGCAGTGAGATATTAAGCCTACTAATATTTAAAGAAGTAAACGGTACCCTACGCGTTTACGCAATGTATTGTCTCATGGCTTTCTTACTGCTGCTGCCGACCCCGTCTTATTTACGGTCCCGCTATCCAGTTACTGACCAACAGTTTTTGACAGAGTACCGCAGGTCACATATCACACACTTGTCATGTCAAAGGCATAAAGACGCAGAGATATGTTGGTATCACGTGAAACGACTGCTTGGTGGAGTAGCAAAGTCCGATAGCGGGTGGAGGAGATCCTTTCAGCAACCTACTGAAATAGATCTACCATATTTGCGTTGTACTACCGGCAGGTATATCTTAATCAAAGCTGGGTTGGTCTGATAGAACTCTGCCCAAAAGAACCACGCATTTTTTATTCAAGCCTTACATTATCCTATGTATACTTCGCGTATATGCTGCGTGTGTGATATAGAAAAAATCATATTCTTTTCTGTATTATCTTACTTCTATTATCTAAGATTTTAGAAACTAAGATTTGATATTCTGCTGAATCAATTTCACCATTGGGTTCAACAATTCTAAAAAGATATTTTTTGATTCACATTTTTAGTAGAAAAAGTGTATTCGTAACCAAAATCATTGTTTCCTTATGGATTTAAATCTATTAGAAGAGGGATACACTCTTAGACGCTAAGTATTCTATAAATGTCGTCAAAACATTGAAAACAACTTACTTTTCCTTCCGCAAGCAGAAAATTCAACAGACATATTCGTTAAAGCATAGTTCAACTAAAAAGCTCAGGTAACCTATTGCGCATTATCACTACAAGGCTTTAAAAGTTTACCATAAAATTGATATATCGATATATAGTTACAGGAATCAAGCCTAGAAAATACTTAAAGTTGCATTACTGTCAGCATAACGTATTGAGGTTGTTTCATTTGTCGTAGGAAAAATTAGCCGATATACAAAATATGTGATAGCAGTAAATAAAGGTCGGCATTGTAAGTAAGTACTTAGTGCCTTCGGGTGTTACTTTCGAGCACGCCCTGTATCTAAGATACGGTTACTAGTTACTTAGGCTCATTTATGACAAACAAACAGACAAAAAACTCATAAATTCACATAGACATACACAGAAAACGAAAAAGAGCTATATCACCATCATTATTACTATCGCCATTAGTATGGAAAATACAACTCTTGCTATTTAATTTTTGCTCATTTTATTTATTTTTGCCGTCTTATTATGATGCTTTAGAAGACTGGCTAATCCTTCCAGATAATAACAATCCAAAATTAGCTGAAATTTTAAACGTTTTAAAGATTCTTGAAACCTTCTGTACATCCCAATGTGTGAACCGATCAGTTGTTTTATATTTGCTGGGGCAGCTAATGTTGATGCAACGTTTGGAACATGAAAGATAGGGAAAGTTTTAACGCCGGCGAGAGTTCAGCAGACTTACACACCAATAAGGTTCAGCACCCATGTGCAATCAGGAAGAATGTGTTGCGTATAGCCCGAAACATTAGTGCGAACGAAATTTATTCAGTATCAGACTGGTATATATCATGGAACAATTGAATCAAAATACAATTGCCTGGTGACTCATATACAACCGACTAGGCAGAATGAAAACACACGCTTTATAATTTGTAGATATAGATTAACAAGAAATGTGATTTAAGTGAAGACTTACGCTAACTGACGAAAAACACTTTTTGACGAAAAACAGCCAGAAATCGAACTACAAATTGCTTAACTTATATGGTGCCTTCATTGTTAACCAAATCGGGAGGCGTCATCGCAATGAAGGAAAGAAAAATCAGACGAACCCCTTTTATATCCACGCGTGTTTCTTTGAAAAACTGAGTAGATTACAGCTGTCACAGCAGAACCCCGAACGGCAGTGGTCGTGTACATTTCACATCACGTCGCGTTCCAATGAAACGGTGTGCTTCATCTTCAAGCGTATATCAACTCGCAAGTAAACAGCTAAGCAACGTTAATTTGTTGCATTGACTATCGCTGCTGCATCATACGGGGTAATTATTACATATTTCTGTTGTCATCTATATATATATAATGCAGCTTTTTATGATAATAAAGTAATACGAAATAAAAATATCCCTGTGACATAACGTATAAAACTGATTTGTGAAAAAATCATTTGTGAAATTAAATAGCTTAGGATATACTCAGTCCTACATACAATATACTTTAAGAATTTCGTTTTACGGTTATGGTTATGGTTAATAAGAAAGTGTACTAATTAATGCAAGTTCATTTTTAGTATTGACAAAGTATTGACGTAGTAATCAATGATGGCTAAACATACATTTTGTTTGGTGTATTTTTTTGTGGTGGAAGATGTCATATTAACGCATCCGTTTTCAGAAAGACTTCGTCTTGTTTTTGTTTTTCATTTCTGCTGCAGCTTACAGGAGGGCCTTCGAAGGGATAAAAGAGTAACTTGTGCCTCAAATAACTTCCTAAACTCGATTACCTGCAACTGGTTGTTCTTAGCCATTGCTCAATAAAAATAAATCATTTCCCAAATTTATATTAGAACAACAAAACTGTTTATCAGCTAATGTCATAACCCCTATAAGTATATATTTTACTGCCACAAAAAGATGTTTACTGTCTAATATCGACCCTCCATTTAATCTTCATAAATTAAAATCAAACAGAAGTAGGTAGATTCTCGGAACGCATTATCAGAATAAATGGTTAAAAAATCCTCAGAATATGTTTTCGGTAAAGCCTAAAGACCTGTCAAGAGAGCTCTCGTAGTTATTTCGAAGTTAGCTCAAAGTTAAGTACAAATGTATTACAGGGACAACCGCGCCGCTGCTTCGTATTCAACTGTTGAATTGTTTCGCTGAATGGTGATGGTCTTTTTAGTTTGGTCTACAGGTATTGCCGAACAAATTTTGATACAAACTAAGGCCCAATTCAACCAAAAAGTTCTACGTAAGGCTTCGATGGTTTCGTCTTATTTCAAATGGTAATGTCTATGCTTTTAAAGGAGTGCTCATCATAAGCAAAAAGGCCGAACGCAAGACAAAAGGCAAGAAAAAGTATTTATAGGCATTCGCACATCGCGAGTGCCCAAATAACTGTGTTTCTATAGAGCCATCATAGAAGTTTTAGTAACGAGCTACAAGAAGACGCCTCTGGAGTTTGAAAGCACGTGAGCGCCCTCACACACCGCTGAGACGCCTGCTAGGGCGACGCTCTTTGCTTTTGAAATTTACGTACAAGCAGGGTTGCCTCGTAGCAGTAACTTATTCTTTGTAAAAGTAATGGCAAGATTCCTTACAACATGCATGCAGTTCAAAGAAGAAGGCTAGCCTTTGTGTATCCCGTACGTCTGACTCAGTATCTAACCCTGGGACGAAGGCCGAGCAAATTGGACTCTCTTTGAATTTCACTGTAATAGTTTTCAGTACTATCCGTGATGCTGCTAAAATCATTGTATCCAAGCATGGGATCCTCAAATGGAAGTCTAATATTAATCACTAATAGAGATATATTTCTGAAAAATACTTTGTGCTTGCAAAAACCTTAAAAAGGCTTAAAACTGCACAAAAAGCTCAATATGTCTGAAAGGAAAACTAGATGTATATGTATACATATGAACTGCATGAAAATTTCACACTACGTTTAGTAACTTGGCGAACTATAGCAATGGTTCAAGTTACCAGACTCATTTGATTACACTGATTGATTTACCCACATACATTTCACTTGAAAAAAAAAAGTGATAATTAAGATGATGCAGAAAAAACATAGTTTAACTAAAGGATATCCAAATATTTCCATAGGCAAAAAAATTGCGATTACGATTAGAAAGAAAATAACATGGAAAACAAGCCAATTGTGATGGCAAGTCTGATACTTTCCAAGGAGCCTTCTTATTTTTTTTGGATACTTCCGACAGTGTTCTATCTAGATAAAGTGTCAAAAATAGAGTTAGGATCTTACTGAGCTACTATGCTATTAGATCAGGTTTAGCTTAATACTCTTCAATGAAAACATTTTAGGTAATCGATTCTTTCTTCAAGCATTTTTAACAGGGCTGCCGTCTCATAAAGAATCCCTGTATCTAGGCCGACGGTGTGCTTTCATTATCTTCTTTTTGAGGTTGTCTTCGCAAGTAAGTCTCAAAACAATATTAGTTGATGTCAAGAGCCATTATTCAGCAGAATTTATTTCAACGTTTGTTTTGGTGACTTAAAGAATAATATCTATCACTACCGGAATAAAGCTAAATATCTCAATCAGCATTTCCTTAAATCAAAAAATTTATAATCGATTCTTGTAGTGCAGTTTACTAAGCTATATTAGTTGTATCTTTAGATTAGGCAACGCGGCTTAGATAAGTACAGTCTAACAGTAGTTCGGATAGCAATATTATTATGACTAACTTTGTCTGGAGGAACATTCTGAAAAATAGTTTATGTGAGCTCATTCACTTGATTCTATAATAAAGACGCAGAGCGTAATACTTAGTTGTTATTTAAACCTTAGTTTACTAACTAGTCCATAGCACATGCGAGAGTAATGCCGTAGCCACATTAATGGAAATACGCCGAATTAGACGATATATTCAAGGGCTTCTATCTACAAGGACTTCCATGTGGCTGTTTGATGATTAGTAATCTATGCAATTTATGTAATTATCTTCCATATGTTATTTTCGTCCAGTTATTTGCGGCATAGGGACGTTTCACCTCCTCGTAAATTTAAATTTTAACACGTAATGATAAGGACCTGTGGACTCGATTAAAAATAAAGAAAAGGTTCCCGTTGCTAAATATTGTATACATAGGCTCAAATCGAGTATTTGAAGTATGATAGTATATCTTATTATACATATAAGCATCAAGATATTATTACTATCTAATTGCTACTTTGGTTGCGTTTGTAGTTCAAGATAAGGCTGCTGGAAATAATTAAACCGATTGTCAAATAAAGTTGGACGATTAGTCATCTCTACTGTAATTGAATTCTGTTTTCACATCGGGTTTGTTACTAGAAAATCAATGGAATTGATATTTCAATTAAAAAAATTATTAATACCTTCACCAGGTACATATGACATAATATCATATAACCAAGACAAAAATTATGTTAGTGTCCTGACGACAACAATGGAAATATCAATCTTAAAATTTCGCCGCTGCTCCAATTTCACCGATATAATCGTTCTTGTATTTTTTTCAATACTATTAAAATTTAAAAGAAAAAGGGACATTTTATTTTTGCTAAGCTTTAAAAAATAGCTTACATATAAAGGCTTCCTTAGGCGTTAATATACCTAATAGAATAGATTTTCACATTTATAGAATTACGGTGCTCTGTATAAACACTAAAGAAGTTATCTTAACTTACAAAAAAAGTTGACCTAGAATTATTGGTAGGATATAATAGGATTGTTATAGATGCTGTTTTTCTTAGCTTAAATTGGTAGTTCGGTAAGGTTTAACAAGTACTGTTTAACTGATAACTATATTTAAAAGCCACACTAAGTATCTGTCATTTTGTGCTTATATGAATAAAGAAAAAGCGTAACACAAATACTATATGCAGACCAGGATTTATACGCTGTAACTTTGCCTATGTTGAAATAAATACTGTCAAATGGGTGCCAAAATAGGGTACTACAAGTCCAAATTTCTTTGACGACTGAACTTGCCGGTGATGTGCAAGCACAGTAGTTAGATTTCACAGGGTACTCAAAATCTAGTTATTTCTAAAGATCAGGTGCTTCCACTCCCTGTATTGTTGGTCTAGGATTCCAGATCTCTGGAAGTCTGGAAACGAAAAACATCTCAATAGCACATTTAACAGCTACGACTGATTTTAATTAAGATACTTTAACCATTTTCCAAGTGTTTCTCGAGTTATATAAATTTGGTAAGGAAGTCAGTAAAATAGTTTAAACAGAAATAGGAAACTGTCCTCTACGAACATTCCTGCTTTTCATTGTACAATAACCCACTTTTTCAAAAGATAAGACTGAATTTATTAGTACCCGGCCCGATGAGTAAAACGAGAAAATACACAACTATTATTAAAAATAGACTTGGCGAAGTGAATATTTGGGCTTATATAGGTAGTCCGATACAGCATTATCCAAAAATTACATTGCTCTATTCCTAGGACCATATTCAAATTCATATTCACCTTTGTTACGTAGTTTTTAATGAAATATTCAAAAGACTAAATTGTAAAGGCGCAGGCCCATAGGAAACCACTCACAGGAGCTAAATTCATATTTAATTACAATATTAGTAGCCGCAATTCTAGAATTAGATAACTCATGCAAAAGTTAATTAAGGTTTCGCTAAAAAATGCCCAAGCCTCTTTTTTTAAAAGAAACACTCCATTTTCTTTAAATGAATGAAACAATCCATTACTAATTATCGTTCCTAGTGGCTCTAAGAGAAGTTTCAATGGCATTACTGCGGCTAGTAGCCTTGATAAAAATTATTGGGCAAATAGATCAGTCAAGGATTACACAATCCAATATGACTAGACAACTCTGTTCGGCTAAATTACATCGGTCTGAATATCCATATGGGGCAAGAAACGTTTTTTTATAATCAAGGCATCTTTTCGAAATTTCGCCCAACTTTTGAAAAAGGGCGTCAGTACAGAAGTCTTGGTCAGTGCTAGACGGGTATTTGTTGAATTCACTTTGCAACCCAATAATGTACACTATAATGAAAATGGGCAGCTTTGAACCATACTGATTTTACTACTTCATCCGTGCATATAACTGTGTTACGTGACTATTGGAGGGATACATTTTCCTTAGGTCTCATACAGATTGAATAAAAGTGCACTTAGGGCTCGCTGAGAAACGATCAATTGAACGTATTAAGATGTATAGGTAAATGCGCAAAAGAACTTACTTTGAGTTTTCGTTTTAGTTTCTCGGTTTGTTCATGAATCAGCCGTACGATCCCTTCGATTTGAGGGGGACATACATTACACAGAACCGTTGGTGATGCGATTTGTCTTCTCTATGTTGCCTTTGTTTCACGATCTATATATAGAGATTTACGAGACTGCTTAGCGCAAGCGAAGCAATTCGACTTCTTACGATTTGTTTACATAGGGATTACGCTTATAGGCTGAGTGTAAACAACAGACACATTCAACTTACCTGGGTACAGCGATAGGAACCTGTTCCGTTAATTGTTACGCTGCGATAATGTATGGTATGTCATTACGTGCGTTGTCTTTTTGGCGACCATGTTTTGAAGTGCTTGCCAATGGCCGTATCTCGAATAATGGAAGTTCTGGAGACACTATCATATATTTTTTTATAACAGAAGATCTATGTTTATGTGGCGAAAAAATCGCTTTACATTTTTGGAGGCTGATCATAAATGAGTTTCAGCAACGGAGAAAAAAGGAAAGTGCGCAAGGCCACACACAAATTAGCTTTTCCTTAGCTAGTTTGTTTTCGTGCAACCCTAGAATTTGAATGGAAACATCTATTTGGTGGAAAACTAAATAGAGCAATCTACTTGCCCATCTTATTGAAACAGCTACTTACGCAGGTTTTGAGGCTAACGGGGCAATAAACGTTTAGAGAGTGTTCAGTGTACTCATCGCTTGTCTCGAAGATGTTATAACAAAACCATTTCTTAGTCGGTTTCATCTAGTTTTTTATTCACATAGATACCTATAGATATATGTAATCACATAAGACGGGTTCTATTATACTGATCTGGCAAACGAAATTTTAAAAAAATCTATATTATTCATAACTGGTTGCATACAAAGACAGAAGACTAAAACACTTATCGGCAAATGGTAATCTTGTATTATAAAAATGTGACTATAGGTGCGCTTCGAGTAGCTGGCTCACAAGCAGTACAATGCCATTTTTTACCTTAGATAATTCAAAACACAAATTAATCATTGAAGCAACAAAACGCTTAATTTTATTTCCTGTATCACCGTTCTGCCTACAACTTCCTGGTCATTAGTCTGTATTAATAGACGGATGATCAAAATCTTTAGTTCTGGCTTACAACATCCTGCCATATCCTTTCGATGAAAGCCCAATTTCACTGTTCTATAACGGTGGTTCGATCAATGAAGTGTATTTGGCGGAAATAAATTAGAAATTCGAACTGTGAATACGCTGCTCCCAAAGATTAATCCTATGTGACACCTGTGGGAAACCATGAGGGAAAACTAACAGTAAGTATAGGCTATAGTTATACTAAGGTTAAACTACCTCATTGAATTGGTTAGAAGAACCATCCTTACACTAAATCGTGAACCAAAATCAGCTGTTGGTAAAGATGAATTATGCTTCAGAGATGAGAGTTACTAAAAGAACATGCTAACTTTGATCGCGAATGCAAAAACTGATTGAATATAATAAAACGACCCTTAATTGCAATTTTTTTAATAAGCATGTTACCTTCATATGCAGATGGTAAGCCTGTCCGATGTCGGAAGCTAAATTCCGCTCGGACTCTGTGTCCGCGATATTTGACAAATTTGGCAGAGACTGGTAAGAACTCAAAGGCCTAAAAGTATGAATTGAAGAACATTAGGTCAGTCTGTGAACGAGAAAATAGTGCAGTTAAAGAAGTATAACGAACAAGTGACCTTCATTTTCATATAAGGAAAGGTCACAAAACTAGAATCTGTCGTATTGCGGCAAACACGGAAAAGATTGCGTTCTATTTTTGCCTCTGGTGCATTCCTGAAGGTATGCTAGGCCTCATTCTATGAATATGTACTTTTTAAGGAAGGTCAAGTAAAGTCGTGTGTTCTAGACCAGCTGTGTTTTAGTATGATACGAATACAATTAGCAGTTCGCTTTAGTCGTACCGAGTACAAGGTGTGCGTGGTACTTTTCAGCTGCTCGCTACCTTAGCTTCTTCTAATTTGTATGTAGAGGTATTTGCTTGGCTGATTATAATCGTACAATATCCAGACGATCCGATATCATTAATGTGTTAATTCCGAACCCACGCTGTAGCTTGGCGTCACATCGACGCGGCTTAGTTTAGAAAATTGATAATATGGATCGCGTAAATCATACGATAGCCAATTTTATGTTCTAATGTATATTGTAATGTTTCGAGGCTGCATGATTTTGACGGGTCGACATCATACCGGTTTTGTATGCTATGTCCCTGCTTTTCACAGTAATTCTCCTGCTGCCATTTCACTTCCGCGCCAATTTTATTACAGTGAATTCTTTTTGCTGAAATGGCCAACAGCATTAGGCATTTTAATTAGGCCGGCAGACATATGATCTTAATAATTTTATTTGCACATCAGTTTATGGGGAACAACTCGTTATGTACGAGTCCTATTAATAAGTAATATAATTAGTTATATTAAAAAGTCTACGTGACTTCGTCTGTCATATAGCCATTAACGTAAAAAAACAGCTAAGTAGTATTAAAGCTAGATTGCGATTTAGTGGCGCATGCGGCATTTTAGTTCGTCTGTCCATGTTGTCTGAAATTAATTAGTTACCTTCTTGATTGATCCATTTATCCATTCGGAAGCGGACTTCTTTTAAAGCAAAGTTTCGCCTTAGTTTGCCTTTTTGTACATTTAGGTCGGGGTCGTTTATTTCATGGGTCGTAGAATTGGGTCCAAGGAATTGAAATTGATATCTATCGGCTGCTATTGTGTTAGGCGACACTGTAGACGGAGCTCGAAAATCCTGCAGAATGTAATCACAAGGACATTTAAGCTTTTTACTTATTTGACTTATCATTTACTTATTAGACATAAGGGAAAGCCAGTCCTTTGCGTATGTATATTTTAAATAGAGTTCCAATTTGCGTATTAGTGATAGAATAGTTGCATCTTCGAAGTATCCGTGTGAGCGCACCAGATGATTCACTTATTCAGATCTGAAAATGTTCATTCGTATGTTACCAAAATGCGTGTTATATTATTAAAGTTAATTTTACAGCTTTTATGTAATTTTACGTAATTCGTTGTCAGCACTAGTAAATTCACTGCCTTGTAGTGTGCACTACGTATTCATGATACCCAACGCTAACACATTAGTGTTAATATATATATATAGTATCGTATTATACCTGGTTCTGGAGCTTGTTTTGGACTCGACTGTTATTTAAATTCAGGTTATTTAGTTGCGGCAAAACCGAGCCGCTGGTTTCAGCATGAGCCTTTAGCGTGAGTTGCTGTTTTTCTAGTGGCCTTCCTATTCTTGAATCTGCATTAAGCTCCTGTAAACAAAAAGAATCATAGCAATAACGAAATAAGTCAAAACAAAACATATAGTAATGTTTAGGTCACCTTATAAAATCAATAAAAATAAACAAGTTAACCGGCGTTAAGTTAACTTAATACCCATATGTGTTATGTGAAAAGCACTTTTTCAGGAAATTAATTAATTCTGAATTCTACACAAAAATGCTGACCCCGTTAAAAGCTACAGTATCTAAACTGGGAAGAAAACAATCATCATCGTTAGCGGATTGCATGAAAAAGACAAAATAATAAGAATATGGGACACTAACAACTCTTAGTGGCAGGTTAAAATATTAAAGTTTGGTATATTCGAAAAGGTGCCGTAACGAAAGTAGTTCACAATGTGAATTAAATTTAATACCAAGAGATATTTATTTTCAGCAACACGCAGCAAAAGTTACTAACCGCATGTAGCAAAAGTAATACAAAGGGGCGAAGAAAAGGGTGCCGGTTCACGCATCCAGCTAAAAGCATTGACCCCTTTGATAAACGGTTCGTTTTCAATTTGAGCGTGAGTTTATTTAATATAAGTTTAGAGTCATTGCAACCCTAAATCGACATTAAATTCCCACGAATTTATGGGGACCAATAAAGACTATATGCTTTACAAGCATAGTCAGATAATATCTGAAGGTAAAGTATCGATAAAAGATTTTGAATCAGAAGAGATATCAATAGGCCAAAAACGTAAATTTTAAATCGTTTGATTAAAATCAGTTACCTTTATTGACAGATTCATCTGGTAAGCACCATCCACAAGCAAGTTAGACTCGGAACGAACTTGATAGAGTAAGCCTAGTGAAAACGACAGATACATTTCAATTTACTGAACTATTGCATTGTCAAAGTCTAACGGTGAAAGTTAAAATACCTCATTTATTTTGCTAGAGATAATTTATAATTTATTTCAAGCTTACAGGGACGTTCCCAGTCATCATCATCAGAAAGCTGTTTTGCTACTGGTATTTACCGCCGACATGGAAATAAAGACCACAGACTCAGATCATTTACAAAGCCCTGAAGCCGAGAGGTGCTACATTCGTAGAGTTACGATTTTTAACATTTTTCAACATTACCATTTAAGGGCCAAAATCCTATGACGGTGATAATGAAATTGAGAGATGCCATCTCCAATAAAGCCTCATGTTAAAGGCTTTTGTTTAAGGAAAAGAACATTTTAATAATGACCATGGGGATTTAGAGGTAACATTTTACTTACCGTCAACCGATCCAACAGCCTAACTTTACATCACTTTAGCTTCTCCTCTGCTAATAAACAATTGTTGCGGTGTATTAATGTTTAGCGGTAATCAAAATGAGAGAAATGCCGTGACAAAAAATATCAACATAAAAAGAAAGGTAGACAGAATTGAAACTCGATTGGAAAGCTAATTCATCAAAAACAGGCCTTACACTTTTCCTGCAACAAAAACAAGCTCAAGTCATATTTTAGCTATGTCGTTTAGCCCCTAAAAAACTTAATCACGCCGAAAGCTCAGAAAAAGCACAGGCCCCTTTTTTAGGAGAGATAGTTGATCGCCTAAGTCGGGCAACTACAGAGAACAACTAGCATACCGTTGTAACGAGCATTTGAGGAATTAGCTTATTTGTTTAAAATTAATAATAAAAGGTATTTTTAGATCCTATAATAAATAGCTTTGGGCGCAAATTTTAAGCTAACCAAGTTTCAAAACTGCAAGTTCGTTCAAGGAAACGAAGTCCCCCCAGAGTAAGGCTGACAGCACGGTTTGGTGAATTTCGGATTCCAACGCATTTAGCTTTCAGGTATAACATTGCTTGTTCAATCATGCAACCCACATGCGCTTTATAGCTATAGCTTGACCATTCTCCAAATATGCATTACAAAGCACTTTTTGACTCTTATTCGAGAAGTATATACACATTTTTTCTTTTAAGCACGTGGGGTAACGAATACATAAGTATATGCCAAGATCAACAACCCGTATATCCCTAGAGTTACATACTTAAAAATCGAACCAATTACTCATGCGGGTCGAACGCTTTAAAACAGTAATGTACTAATTTTGCGCGGGCAATACCGAAACAATATTGTTATTATCACGTTCTCATTGAAGTATTGTGTTAACAGCGTTCAAGCGTTGCTGTGAAAATGCTCATTTTGAACTGTTGCCGCTCACAGTAGTTTAATGAATATTAGCACCAAATGCTGTACAGTTAGCCGATTACAAAGAAATGGCGTTTAGCAAAACACTACTGCAAATACGAGATACCTACTCATATGAAGACTTACGCATTGAGACCGAGTTCAGAACACGAGCCTTCGTAAACAAAATCTATTCGAAGATGATTCCGCTTCTGACAAGATATGAATGAAGGGATGAAGATATGCTTCTCCAATAGAAACTGTCCGTTCGCGGAACGTGAAGCAATTGGAACTGAACAAGCAGATTGAAGCCGATATTTAAATAGGCGAGAAGTAATTGTTCTTTTCGATCCCGATTGGTGAGAGGGTTACGACGCATGCACATGCACTTAAATTGGAGTCCTGTACATACGGCGCAAATATGGCCGTTTCTACAACATCAACACTCTTTAGAACGTGACATACACTGCCTCATAGAGCATTCAAATAATTAAAGCATGTAAGCCGATAACTCTAACACTTAGTTGGCGTCTGACGGTTCTTTAGTTGCGGGAAATACGAGTGTGAGCGATTTCAATGATTTCCAACCGCAGTAAGCCCCAATCATATAACACACGTTTGAATCTTCATATTCCTATGTTGAATCTTCGATCCTTAGCTACTAAATACGATGATACTGCAAGCAACAATCAAATCAGAAGCAGCAGTCCTACGTATTCCGTGTAACACGTAAAAAGACAGAAGCGCCTAGCCTATTAACATAGATGTAATGCATTCATATAAAAAGAAAATAGCGCTCTCGCAGTAGATTACTTAATTCATTTTACACCCTTTGTCCAAATTGATTCGCGATGTACTAGACAGTGTTTTTATTGATGCATTTATACTGTTTGTTTGAATTATAGTTCCACTACTATTGATGACAGAGTATATCATGCTGATCCGGAAAAGGCTGTTCTAGCCGCAGATACATTGGAAACTACGGGGAGAAAAGTTAAATCATCTAAAAATTATCTTTGCATCCCGTTTTCCAATTAGAGTAGATGGGAAATGCATGAACATTACATTTTTTATAGGTACATTATCAACCTCTCGTCGATTCAGTCCGGGTAATCTGCTATAGAGCCCATCATGTGGTGCGATGGTGTTGGAGTTACATATATTTTTATTCAATTGAATGACCTTAGATTTTTGCAGAGCAGCGCATTGATTTCGTGGTCCAATACAAACGTATCCTCTGCGTGGCGAGAAATGTATCCTCCCGTGCATGTTAAAATTTGCGCATGCATATTATATAGATGTACAAACCTCTGAATCCTAATTTTCTATGGAGCACAATGGTAGATACGTGCTGACGCCTTTCTCCTACTTTTTTTTATAGACGACAATCGCACATCGTTTTGGGTACTCGTTGTGTAATGAATTGGCTAATATTAAGACAAATGTTCATATACTGATTGGATGCAAATAGTTCTGTGGTAAACAGATGCATGCATATGTAAATTTTTTCACGAAATCACTAGCGATTAACTAAGTTTCGCCCGTCAGTTGTTTTTTTTCCTAAAGGACTGGACAAATAGTCATCACTGTAACTCTATTGTGTGTAATTATACATCGGCTGTCTAACAAAAAACGAATATCAGACATATCTGCCTGTCTTCAGTTTCCTTACAATTTTATTTGCAATGACCCGCATGTTTTTACTATGTGATAAATTTTGGTAAATGATTATGTATATAGGCAACATAACGACAGCATGTAGGAGAGCTACCGCGCGAATCGACCATCATAAATTACGATTTTGACATATACTTCTGCATGCCGCCATTGATGTTTTCTTGAACGTGAAGTAGAGCAAAAGAAGGTTTTGTAGATATACTCACAGGGCGCCAATATGCCGCGCATGTTTGGCCCTATACCACAATCCAATATCGTGGCTACCCTATCCGACATTTTTGAATATGATGATGATGTTCATTTATTTGATACACGTTTTGGATTTGATTAAGCATTTCTTGATGCTGGTGGCTGCAAGTGCCAAGTACATATCCACCGGCTCCGATAAGACCTAAAGGAACTCCTTTTTTAAAGAAGTTTCGTGAGCTTTTGGCTTCATCAAAAGACATTGAATTGTCCACATCGCTATCAAGAAGGCAACAGCTAGACGAAAAGCTAGCCTTAATTTAATGAGATAAAGTCGGATTGTGTACTTATTATCTAATTAGTCGACAAAGATTATTTTTAATATGCTATTTTGTTCGCACTGTACCTTGCAGGCTTTTCTCATTTTATGTTGTTTTGATAAAGTTTTAATATTGAGAGATTTTGCCATACGCGTTTATGTAGCTTGCTTGGACAATGAGGGTCGGCAAAACGCTACAATTAAGAAGTCGGTAATATTGCCATGCTTATCAGATAAATGAATCCAGACAAAATAATTTAAAGCTTTACTTATGTGTAAGTACCTAATGAAACCCTTCAAAATGTGTTTCTGGACTCTCGGCGCTTGTTAGCTGCGCGATTCATTAAAAAATCGTCATTTTTAGTAGGTGTTCATCCGGCACGGATTCCTTTCCGTTAGAAAACTGAATTAAAGTACATTTTACAATGCTAAAGGTTTTATTATATTGAACCACCATTAGAAAAATTTAGAAATGCTGGATTTATCCCCAGTAATGTGTGATTCCGATAAGCACTGAAGTAGGGCGTGTAGCTCCGGCGTATGACATCATCCATCAGTTACTATTCAATAATGGTGGTAAACTTCGCAGATTTTTTGGTTCGATTATAAATATACTCGCCGTAGATTTTGCCAATCCTGAGCGCGATTTTTAAATAATACTTTTGATATTGCGCTTATAGTTTTGTAAAATTGTTATTTACTAAAAAAATCAGTAACCCGCTGTTCTGCGATTATCAACCCGTGCATGTTTAAGTACAGTGTTACGATCTCTATTTCAGATAAAATAAATATCACATACCTACAAGTAAAACAGAGAGGAAGTTACCCGGCGATTATTATTGTAACGTGCCAGGACATCACGCTCTTTTTTCATCTGCGCCATCTGAACCGTGACGTGATTCAATGAGATGTTTCCAATTTATTAATTTTTAATACATGACTAGATGTTTAAAATGTCCAAATGATTAAGTATGTGTATATAGAGCAGTTCGAGCTCCAAGAAAAAGCTAGAAAGCACAAAATACATGGTCAAGCAATCGCAATAAATAAGGTCTTCACCTGAGATTTTGTTCGAAGTGTAGGGAACAAGACCATTATGTAGTCCGTTTGATTTGAACTCTAAAATTGTTCCATCTTAGGTCGACAGCATCGGAACAATTTATAGGCATGCAATATGTCAATACTATAATTTGATGAGTATATATAAGATATATATTTGCACGTTCTCAGTACGTAAGAAGAGTCTAAAGCGTCTAGATTCTTGAAAATTCATTACGAATCTGCAATATTTTCCTTTAGGAACGCAGCGGTTAAACTAAAAAATACATTGTATATTATTCAATTTCGTATATATCCCTTTTTATTAAACGCATATTCACTACCTGTCATTTAGGTAGACCATGTATTCAAAACATACACGTCAACTACAGAAAATCTATGAAATAGTGAATGAATTTTGTCTGTCAGCTTTGACATCTCGCCCGTAACTCGATGTTGCAGGTTTGAACCGTTAGTTGACGCTAAGTATTTGCTTAATTATTTGACGGTGAGTTATTCATGGATCGTAAGTAACCAGAGCTAACTTTATTTTGCAAGTTTTATTGGCAACCTTACTTTGAATAACGTTAAAATCGCTTCTTACATCCGTTAACCACCCCCCCCGTCCATGTCGACCGCTGACTTTTTACCATGTCATTCCGAGCCACAATATTTGATATTAAATTTGAACCATTTTTATAAGTACATTGCCTGATGACTTTGGCGAGGAACAGTGATTCAGTGTTGCGATTCATTTAAACAGTTGTACGAAGCTCCATTTGTGAGTCACCGGCAGTAATTTAAGCACACATATTTTAGCATAATGCTACACATAGCTAGATTTCTTATATAGTTTCGGTTTGAGACAATTTGAGGCTACCTTTTTTATTGTGCAACTCATTTTGTATTACGCTGTACTTTTCGTTCACCTTTTTTAATGCTTCAAAACAGTAATTACTTTTGAAACTGTTGTTTTTTTTTATCACCTAAAGCACCCACAATTCAATATTAATGTGGCAGTCCCACTAATTTTTGGGTTCAGCAGCATAACACGTACAACACTAAGGCGTGACACACTAAGCTATCCTTAGATCCTTTACACGTTACCTAGACTTAGAGTCCTAATTCGAAATCATATGAAGTTTCTTGCGTATCCTTCCTCAGATATTATTCTGTTCCAAGCAAAAAATTGACCCACTCACGTTCAATTTATATCTCTTGTTTATGTCTATCTTTGGCATCCTATTAACGCAAGACGCATCTATACAGTTTAATAATCTAACTTTGTTCTTAACCAAACTCCCAGCTGAGTAATACCATGCGGTCACGCTTAGGTTGCACCCATGACTCTTCAGTACTCGCATTTTTCTTCACTCAACTGACCGATATGTTTTGCTAGAATCTTTTCAGTTTATTCTACGACTCCATAATCAACTTTTCGTATTTATCCCGGCAACGGTATGGTTTACCGAAGTAATATGAAACACAGTTTGCGAACAGGCTCGCTGCTCATTTACTAATACAGTACATTTTTTTCTGGTTGCCGGCCATTTCAAAATCTCGGCAGAGATCTTTTCCTTTATGAAAATAGAGTTTGAAACCCATTCTTGACGAATCTTTAAACTTTGTGTGTACCTTTACTGTCTAATATATAGAGATTATATTGGGTGGTCGAAAAGTATTAAGGATTTTTCTAGCTAATGGCTTTTAAGTCACATGTTTTGGGTATTAGGAGTCGGATCGGTTTTAGCGTGATTTAAAGCTGAGATTTGACGGTATTAGATGTGCTAAAGTTGGTAGGATCCCTTTGTTCAGACTTCGGATAGAACGCTTTGAAGATAAATGCAAACCTTTGCTATATTTTACAATTTTATTTTGAAGAAGGCATAAATGCTACCCAGGCCCATCAAAAATTGCGCGGTTCAATGCGTTATCGGCAAAAGCAGCTTAAAAGTGTTTCTGTCCTTTTCGTTGTGGAAATGTGGAGGATACTCCTCGTAGTGGTTAATCAATTACAACGAAAGATGATGAAATTATTGCAGAAGTTGCCCAAGAACGACGAGTAACCACCAAATCACCGA